GGGGGGGGGGAGGGCCAACAACCCCACTCCAAACATAGGGGGGGACCTGGTTGGGAGGGTTCTGATTTTAGGGGCGGTGGCCGTGTTGGGGTGTATATTACCCTAAACCCGACACCCTATAAATATTCTAAGACCCATTTTCTTGACAAACGACTATCGGGGCCTGAGGGCTGACGTGGGTCAACACCCACGTCAGCCCTCAGGCCCCGATAGTTGTTTTCTACCTCTTACATCCCCTATACAACACATAGGCCAATAACCTCCCTTTTACTAAGGTAAGGGGCCGTCCTGAGGGACCATGCAACTACCCTTTGAGCTTCTCAAATTTGCAGGACCCGATCTCCCATGAGTATTGGAAGTGGTATTCCTAGTGGTATTCCTAGCATCCCTTGCCTGCCGCAAAGGATGACCGAATGGTACGAGACAGTCGGGCATCTTCATGTTGGGGTTTAGGGCTTAGGGTTTAGGCTTTAGGGGCTTGGGGTTCTGTTTCAGCTATACTGCATTCAAGCAAAGTTACTAGAAGCTGAGCGAACACCGATATGAGATCCGATCCCGCACGATGACGAAGTCTTCGACGTCCAGCGTGTCCAAATCCACGACCTGCACCATCTCAAGCGAAAGAGCTTCTGAAAGTGAAGCATACTGTTGTAGGGGTCGGAAGTGAAAAGTGTACTACAATAACCCCACAAAACCCTATTGAAGTTATGAAGGCCCCTACAGTACTTACTACTCGTGTCGCTTTCAAGGCCGAGCAAGCTCCACGGCAGAGCCTCGAAATCATCGTCTATGTCGTCGTCGCTGTACACGTCAGGAGCATCCGGTGCTGGGGTAGGGACCGCCTCAGGAGGCGACCGCACAAGGCCAAGAAGAACAAAGTGCAGAACGATGGTGCAACAGTGCTGAACGATGGTGCAACAGTGCTGTTTAGGGTTTAGGGTTAGGGTTAGGGTTTAGGGTTTAGGTTTAGGGTTTAGGGTTTAGGGTTGAGGGTTTAGGGTTTAGGGTTTAGGGTTGAGGGTTGAGGGTTGAGGGTTCAGGGTTTAGGGTTAAGGGTTTAGGGTTTAGGGTATAGGGTTTGGGCTCAGGGTTTAGGGTTTAGGGTGGTAACACTGTTGATCACGGGGCGATGCTCAGCTGCTTGGAAACTGCGGGGCGCTGCCTTCTTGACGGCTTTCTGCTGCGCTCTTCTCCGTTCCTCCGCCTCCTCCGCCGCCTGCGCTGCCTCCGCCGCCTCCGCCGCCTCCTTCCGAAGTGCCTCCACAGATGCCTACCCATCTGAGAAATATTTTCACCAACCCCACATACCCTCAAAGGATATTAAGAGGTATGGCAAATCCTTCCTTATATATCTTCTTGTATAGGTTAGGGGGTGTGGGTTTGGGGTATGTGGAATTACTCTTAGATACCACACCATTTAAGCTTCGAAGGGCAAGCGCAAGCCAAACCCTAAACCCTAAACCCTAAACCCTAAACCCTAGACCCTAAACCCTAAACCCTAAACCCTAAACCCTAAACCCTAAACCCTAAACCCTAAACCCTAAACCCTGCTTGCCAGTCCTACTTGGAGGTTCACGGGTACTTCTAAGTAGGGTTCTACGTGGGGTAACTATGGTTCTGACCGTAATTCAGGTACTTCCAACCCTACTTATATACAAGTACTCATGAACCTTCAAGTAAACCCTAAACCCCTATGTATATATATATATATATAAATATATATATATATATATATATATGTATATGTCAGTACCCATGAACCTTCAAGTGCTTGAGCTCTGCTCGGAACATCTATGTGCTGGACCGGGTGGGCCCGACCTCATTCCTTCTTCGCTCTTCTTCTCGCCTGCCCAAGACCAGCGCAAGCTGATTGCCTACGCGATGAGATCTCGAGTGACCTAATTCGAAAATAGGGGTACCGTTTTGCAGGGTTCCTTTAAAAGGATTATAGGGGTACCCCCCATGTTCGGCAATCCCCCCCCCCCCCCAAAGATGACGTGGGAACTTCGACCACCCTCCACGGTGAGCTTCCTCAAAGCCTGCGGCCCGCCACGCCCTTTTTCCTGCGCTCTAAGCTATCATCCTCTCCTTGTCACCGCCCATATACCATGGTCGCCGTGGAAGTGTCGTGCTTCTTGAGGAGCCCCTGTACCATTGCAAGGGTGTATGGGTAGCTTGGAGGATCCTTGAGAGTGGGGTCCTCTGCCTTCCACTTGCGGGCATAGTCATCCCATTCGCTCGCACACTCCTCCAGGAAACGCTCCACGGGGTGGCACTCGAGCTGCTTCTGCTTTTTCAGCTTGCCCTGTGACATCTGGAGTTCGCCCAGCGCCGGGCAAATCGTAGGTAGAATGAAGGCCAAGGGCAGCGCCGTCTTGGCGTCGAACACGTATGCAGGCCGAGAGATGGTGTCATCCCGCTGGTTGGTTGGCAGCTGCTGCGAGTCCACCACCCGACGCCAGTCTTTGGGAAACCACATCATGTGGCTTGCGTTTTGCACCCAGGTGATCGCGCCAGGGGACAGGCTGGTACCGCCGAAGTTGCTGGCGTGGACGCCAGGGTGCTCCTATACTCCCCTTGGAACCTGAATAAAAATAATAATTTTAATACCCTCTTGGGGTTTATATAAACAAAAGTAGAAATAACTCCCAAGGCGGATATAGGCTCACTCGCGGTGTATCGGCGATTGTCGGCATCAGGCCAGAAGCCGTACATGGTCTTGATCCTTAGGAGCCTGTCCACTTCGTGGTCTCCAACGAAACCTGGGTAGCCCAGTAGCCTTATCATAACAAGGGTCCCTTTTTTGGGGGGGTTGGTTACTTTGTGATAGAACCTAGGACAAAAAAACAAAAGGGTACCACTGGGCTACCAAGAAACCGAAAACTTTGAGAATCGTGTCAACCGAGAGGTCTCTGCCTAGACCCCAAGAGGGCAATGGAGGAATGAAAAGGGCTGCCCTTTTTGGTTTGAAGGGGCTCATGAAGGAACCTAAGCCCGCCCCAAAAAGGGGGAACAAGGGCGTATACTCTGGGTCCTAGCTACCTAAACCCCAAAGTCTACAAAAAAGTGGAATGAGGGCCTACTCTAGGTCCTAGCTACCCTAAACCCTAAACCCTAAACCCTAAGCCCTAAGCCCTAAGCCCTAAACCCTAAACCCGAAGCCGAAACCCTAAAAAACGGCAATAAGGGCCGAGTCTGGGTCCGAGCTGCCAGACTCGAGGTGGACCCGCCCTTCAGAGAGCCGCTTCACTTCGTCGACGATGACCTCGCACTTCCCCATACTCAAGGCCAGGAAGTAGACATCTCCAATGCCGAATCCTTGGCTGTTCATGAGGGCTCTTTCCGAAAAGCACTCTATGAGAGAGAGAGGGAGGGAGGTAGGGAGGGCATTGCAAACTGCACCCTCACCAAAAGCCAAGTGCAAGAGTCGAGATTTTTGAGCGATGTGTGCATTCGTCCTCGCAGAATTGGCGATGACGGAGTGGTAAGCCTCGTTCATGGCTGGGATAGTACTAAAAAAATTAAATGTTTATTCCTGATTGGGTTTAAGTACCCTTAGAAAAAGGTAAAATGCTACCCAACTATGACAAAGAAGCCCAGGGATCGAAGCCAATGAGCTTGTAAGCAGGCTCCATGCTCTCCAGGAACATCGCCCCGGTGACTGGAGGATCCGATTGGTTGGCGAACCATGAGCAGACCTTGGTAGTCCAGTAGGGTTCTTGGTGGCCAAGGGCTTAGGGTTTAGGGTTTAGGGTTTAGGGTTTAGGGCAGTAACCATATTATAATAAGGGCACCCTTTTTTGGCGAGGTTATTTTATAAAAGGAACCCGGTACCCAAAAAAAGAGGGTAAAGGGCACCACTGGGCTACCAAGAGACCCTTGGGCAGGCGAGATTCATACGCCGGCAGACCATGAAGATCTTCTTCGAAGAGAACTCGCAGCAGGTGCGGATGTTCTCCACCCCAAAGGCGCCGTGGCCGGCAATCATGACATTCTTCCCCGTGACGGCCGCCTCCCCAAACCCTAAACCCTAAACCCTAAACCCTAAACCCTAAACCCTAAACCCTAAACCCTAAACCCTAAACCCTGAACCCGCCTCGTAATCAATGGTATCGAACATGGCATACTCGATCATGCCCCCGAAATCATCCTCACCCTTGTACTCGTACTGCCGCGGAAGCGAGAGATTTCCTGGGTTGGCCTTTAAACCCTCTGAAAAAAAATATATATAGGGCTCCTTATAAACCCAAATAAGGAAAATATGAAAATGCCCCAAAAACCAACCTAGTTTCCTGGGTACATGAACACGCAGCTCACAGTCAGTTGCTTGAGGCCTCGTCCGGTGGGATGGGGAGGGAGATTTCCAGTGTAGTTCTCCGTGTCCTCGAGGCTCACGTCCCCCAAGGGCCCGCTGTCTGAGCTAGTGCCGTTCACTGAGATTGACTTCCTTGGTAGTCCAGTAACCATATTACAATAAGGGTACCCTTTTTTGGGTTGGTTATTCTATAAGGGAACCCCTAACCCAAAAAAAGGGTAAAGGGTACCACTGGGCTACTAAGCTTCACGTTGGTCTGGAGTTGGATGTGGGGCGTTAGCCCGTACTCAGCCGACACTCTTGCAAAGTGATCCAGCAGCTCGTCGCGCGAGGGCCATGTTGACATCTCTTTGGGCACGGGGTTGATCTCGTCATACCTACGCCCGAGCCCCCCCCCTGGAACTATAAAATGATGATGCTAGTAAATGTCGCTTGGTGTTTTTTGATAGCTAGACAAAGCACACAGACAATTACTAAATTACCACGTATGGGCCTTGCAGCTTTCACAGATAATCGCAAGAACGTATAGTCAAATAGTCATAAAGAACAATAGGAACAAGAATAACAATTAGCACCTAATAATGCGATTGGGTACTTACAAGTGGGGTAACTATGGTTATGACCTCAACTAGGGTACTTATAACCCTACTTATAAGTACCCATGTGAAGCTTCAAGTAATTAATAAGGCGGTTAGATTACTGAAGGTGGAACCTAAGCCCTAAACATACTGGACTATGGGCCCTTCTCTGGGTCTTAGTTGCCCTGAAGCCTAAACCCTACACGCAAAACCCCAAAACAAGAGGAATACGAGCCTACTCTGGCTCCTAGCTACTGGTGATGACCTTAATTAGGGTATCTACATATAACCCTACATATATACGTACCCAAGAACCTGCAAGTAATAACCCTAAACCCTAAACCCTAAACCCTAAACCCTAAAGGCAATTTGGGGTACTGGAGGTGGTAGGTGCCGAGCTCGGTCTGCAGCTTGGAGGTCTTGTTGGCCTGGGCGATCCAGGACGTTCCTCCGACCTTGTCCCGGCGGTCCACGATGAGAAAGTTGGAGTGATCCTATACTCAGGGTGTAGGGTTTAGGGTTTAGGGTTTAGGATCCCATACTCAGGGTTTACTTCGGGTTTACTTCGGGGTCTACCTAGGGGTATATTGGGTCTGGGGTGTAGGGCAATTTGTTGCCAAAGCCCTGTCTAATTATGAAGGCCCCTACAGTCTACGACAGAACAGCCCAGGATCGTGCTGGAGGAGGTAGAGGCCATGCCGCAGGCCAATGTGGCCTGCGCCCACGATGAGGAATCCATAAGCCCTAGACCCTAAACCCTAAACCCCAGACCCTAGACCCTAGACCCTAAACCCTAAACCCTAAACCCTAAAACCCTAAAACCCTAAAACCCTAAAACCCTAAAACCCTAAAACCCTAAAACCCTAAAACCCTAAACCCTAAACCCCTAAAACCCTAAAACCCTAAAACCCTAAAACCCTAAAACCCTAAAACCCTAAAACCCTAAAACCCTAAACCCTAAACCCTAAACCCTAAACCCTAAACCCTAAACCCTAAACCCTAAACCCTAAACCCTACCCAACGTGGCCTGCGCCGATGATGAGGAAGGGGTGCTCGTGCTGAGCCCGCTCGGGCTTGAAGGACCTGATGCCTTTGACACGGACCTGGGACGGCCCCTTTAAAGCCCTTTTAGTTTTTTTCTTTAGGGTTTAGGGTTTAGGGTTTAGGGTTTAGGGTTTAGGGTTTAGGGTTTAGGGTTTAGAAGCTGAAACCCAAGAGGGGCACACAAATCTGAGAAAATATCTACCAACGGCCTACCGAGGGACCTTCCGCCCCACCTCCTCATGATCCATCTGCCTCCTCAAGTAGCCACCCGCCCGAGTGAAGAATTGCAAGTCATTTGGAAAGACTCCGAGCCTGGGTTGGCCCGCAACACACCCTGTGAACCAGAACTAGGGTTAAGGGTGCAGAGTTCAGGGTTTAGGGTTTAGGGTTTGGGGTTTAGGGTTTAGGGTTTAGGGTGTAGGATTTGGGGCTTAAGGGGCTTAAGGGGCTTAAGGGGCTTAAGGGGCTTAAGGGGCTTAAGGGTTCAAGGGTGAACAAACGGCATACATTTCTCTTAAAGAAGCCCAAAACGATAAAGAGAGCTTCCAACACATACAGTAAAGAAGCTTCATCGCCAGCAGCTCCTTGAGTTCCAGCACTTTGGTGCTGGTGACCACCGGCAAGGCAAGCACTTCCTTGGCTGCTGAGTGCAGAAGCCCACCAAAAGAGGGTGCACATTTTCAGCTCTACAGGGGATTATAGTATCAAAAAGCCCCCACAAAAAAAAAGTAAAAACAAAAAAAAAGGTGTACACTTTCCCAATTCTACAGGGGAACCCTAAACCCTAAACCCTCAACCCCAAACCCTAAACCCTAAACCCTAAACCCCAAGAGCCCTAAACCCCAAAAGTGTACCCCTTCAGGACTCCCAAGCTTCATCTGTGCCTTGGATGCTCAGCTCGGTCGTTGCTGGCGTCTGACTGGCGGGCTGTATGCCTTGGAAGTCCAGTAACCATATTATAATAAGGGCCCTAAACCTTCATGCGTGAGGTCGGGTAGTTGCTTGCACTACGCTTTGGCTCCTCACCAGCCAAATGGTCTCGCACTTGTTTTCTGCACTGATGTTCGCCTTCAGTCTCCGTCTCGTGCACCCGGGCGGTTTCCAGTTACGCTATTGCGCTTACTTCCAACCTATGAGTGACCTACACTCTAGGGATTACTTGAGCCAACATGGTGAACAGGCCACGGCGTTCTAAGGTGGTTTCCCCGATGTGCGGCGGAGCCGACACAAAGGGGTTCCCAAAATGTGCTGTGGTTCGGGGATCATTCACACCCCCCACGGCTGGGATTTGCAAAAATGCTAGACGAACTTGCGTCACGAACATACAATGGTCCCAGTTAAAAGCGACTTAAAGTCTGGCCGTTCTCCACTGTTTTGCTCTCTTTGCCCGAATTGATAGATGTGAGACAGACTCTCAGCTACTGAAGCGTTCAATCCCATCCTTTGTCTGTACAAAGACTTGCTGCTCACGGTTGCGGAATCATGGGCGCGAAAGGCCCTGAAAACATGTCAGCAAATTGCTGATCCATCACATTGCGTCTCCAGAATGCATGACTGAAAAGCAGTAGCATCGGCCAAGTTAGCAGAGCATAACCCATACCCACTCGGCTACCACACGAGCTGCGAAGAATCGCACATTTCCCTCCAGCGAGCGCATTGGCACATTGCCCCGCTGCTGCTATGCAGTGGCCAAAAAGAGAAATAGCATCGGTGGATATAATGACGTACTCCATCGTATCATCTGTTGCATCCATAGGGAAAAGAGGAATCAAAACTGAGAACGCAAAATGCTGAGCCACAACCAGATTTCAGGAATACCATGGATTCCAGGGGATGACATACCGGAGGATCCGAGTGCATCATTCACCCTTTCTTTCCCGATCCCTTTCTCGAATGACCGCGAGGATCTTTGGGAGCAGCTTGAGGTGTCCCAGGATGAGAAGTCTTGGGCTTCGGCTGACTCATGCGGGCCTTCGCACGTGCCGGCATGTCCGTCTCGTCTGCTTCAGGATGACGAGATCCTCCCGACGAAGTAACCGAAGGTGCGGATGCTGAAGGGTCATAGGCAAGGTACAAAGCCGACGCCTTTGGATTCTCCAAATACTGTGTGGGCTTCAACTTCAGGATGCTCATGTCCTTCTTTTGATCACTCAACCATCTGTCCAGCTTCTTGCTGTACTGGTTGGGTAAAGCGCACCCCGAATCCCTCATCACCAGAAGGTTGTTAACGCTCACCTTCTGCGAGTCCATCAAACTGAGCAGCTGGATCGGGTTGATGTATTTGAATGCCGCGTGGTACGGGATCTCAGCGTTGGGTTTCGTGTAGGAATAAAGCCTCACGTTCAGCACCTGATAGATGATTTTGGCCATGAACATGTGGACCCTTTGCCCGGCTTCAGCAAATGCTTTCGGGTCCTCGCCCTCATCCGGAATCATGGGGAGGTTGAAGCTCTCCTTGTTGTATCCCAGCTGGATCGCCCCACGCATGACGTAGAAGACGAACTTGTTGGCGTAATAACGCTCAATCATGAACTGCTGGTTCTCCACAGAGCTGGCATACTGCCTTACCTCGTCTTCCATGAGGTCTCTCGGCAACGCCGTGTCCTCATCGATGGGGACAATTGGCCATGTCCCAGATGCGTCGTGTCTCATGCCTGAGGCGAACTGGTCCTTCATCTTCTTGTATGGAGTCATGATGATCTTCTCGAACAGATTCCATTTATGGACCAACACGTACGCAAAGAAGGCGTCGAGGTGACAGTACAACCTGAAGTTGTGGTCCACGCACGCTGCATAGTCCGTGTCGATGTTGACGTTGCACTCCAGCGCAAGGCGAGCTTTCCTCTCGTTTCGATCGTCCAACGTATCGCCTTCCCTGTCTCCAACCAAAACGAATGCTCGCTGGTTCTGCGCATCTATCTCCACTTCCTCTTGGTTGGGAGCCTCCATCTCCACATCGCGGTACATGTCGCGAATCTCGTCGGGGATCTCCTCGGCCTCAGGTTCCGCCACGCTTTCTCGAGGACTGTTTGCCTCCACATCCCCAGCCGGATTCTGCACCCCGCGGAGCGGAAGCGCATCCTCCTGGACAGGTTCTGAAGTTGGCTCCTCTTCCACGTCAATCTCCACAACTTCGTTGTTGACGACGGCGGCGGCCTGGTTGAGTGCCTGGCGGACCACTTCCGGATCAATCCTTTCGGGTTCCGGATTGGCACGCACATGCTGGATCCTCCCCATGGACAGGAAAACTCTCCCACACGTGAGGCAAATTGCGAAGCTCGCAGGGGTATGCCTGCCGCAGCAGGGGCAAACCCTCAAGATCAGCGGATCGCTTGTGGTGGTGTGAGTCGTCACTCGCCGGAATGTCCTTGAGAGAAACTGGAAAGCACGCTTGATGATGTTTCCAGGAACGGTGTCGCCCGCCTGCTCAATTGCTTGCAAGATCTCGCGCCTCTCGCCTTCATGCGCGCCAGCGTCGGTGCCTTCCATGGTGCTGACGAGGTCTTCCACCGAAGGTTTTGGAGGGTCACGATCGGGATTGATGCGTGCGTCCCCATACCCTTCGACCATCTCCTTGGACAGCTCTTTGGAGTACACCTTGAAGACTTCGCTGAACTCGAAGTACCTTCCTTGGCTTGGCATGCAGATCCAAACGTGCTTGACGGCCTCGAATGGAATTTGCCGCTGGACGAGAAACATTCCATTGATCGTGATCACTGCGTTGTAGCGCATGAGTTCATAGGCTGGAACGTACAATACTGCAATTGGTGACCTCGGCCTTCCGGGAATCCTTGTTCTCACCGTCTGATTTCTCGGATCCCATGGCGGGAACGACGTCCCGAAATGGCTGTGGACTCGACCGCCTGACGCCCCTCCGCCTGGAAGAAGTCCTTTCGCCACGATGTTGGCGAGAAGCTCTGGGGCCGTGGTGTGATACCCCCCACCAATCTGGTTGACCAAGCTCGTGGTCAAGTGGCATGCGACCCGGTCGTCATTCACCCGCACCAACGAATTGGAGTTGCTGGAGTGTCCACTCGTGGCCCTGATCGCCCACGGCTGCACCCAATTGTCGCACCGGCGAAGGGTACCGGACGTGATGTCATGCGTCAACCTGTGCCCTCCGAGTTCTTCAAGTTGGGCACGCTGGGTTGCGCCGACGCCCGGAGTGCCGTCCCACGGCGTATCAGACGCTCTTTGTCCAGGCTTGGGCGCCACGATCTTGATGCCCAGGAATTGAAGTCTAATTCTCCCATTGGTGCGGTACTCGTAGTACGCGTAGTCGATCAGCATTTGAATTCTTCTCTGATACTCCGAGTTGTCGTCTCGAGCTGAACTCCTTGCGTAATACCTCCCGCTTTGCCAGAAGTTCTCCAAGTGGATGAAGTCTTTGAGCATCACCCATCCTCCGGTGTCGCACGGGATTGTCGGGAGCTGATTGTGCATGTAATTCGTTTCTCTGTTTGCTAGGCGGTGCCTAAGCAAACGTTGCACATCATAGCCCAGGGATTTGATCCTGCGATGATAATCCCGATTGCGATGGTTGTCATTGGAGGAAGTCGCGGGAACCAGGGCTGAGAAATGCCTGTGAGCAAATCTTGCACCCTTGATCGGTAGGAGACGGAGGTCCCCTCCGATGACCAGCTTGCCGATGTTCACGTATCCCATGTTCGAGGAAGGATACTCATCGATGTCGCTTCGGAGAGGGTGTGTGGCAACGTCTCCTCCGACCTCCTGCTCAATCAATCGGCGCGTTGCATCCTGCGATTCTAATCCGATCTCATAGATGCTCTGCCCACCGACCCACGATACGTCCTCGATGGACTTGATGATGTCAAGGCAAGACTTCGGCTCGTGGTAGCGAATCTCGACGAATGAACGAGCATTGCCGGCGTTGTTCGCAATCCACCGCCTAGGAGCTGGCGCAGCTTTGGGCTCTGGAAGATCAGGTCTCGGTTGGGGCCTGCGCTTGGGTCGAAGCATTCTTGTCGCAGCCTCTTCTGGTTCTTCATCGACTTCGATCACGACCACTGTAGGGTCCTCAACTGAGATTGATGCTTGACGCCGTCTTGGCAGCGGGCCTCTGGAGTCCTCCGAAGACGCTGCAGCTCCAGGCTCGACGCTTTCCCCATCCCCACCCGGAGTATCCGAAGCGGTTCCTGGTACTTGCGGAGCGCGAGCGGCATCTCGCAAATTCTTCTCTGCCCATCTTTGGAAGATCTCTGTTGGTGGCGTACTGCTTGACTTGTGCATCTTAGCCAGGCTTTTCCCAATGATGCTGAATGCTTCGTTCACCACCAGAGCGTTGTACCCCCCATTTGCTTCGCAATTTCGGGTGTTGTGGCCATAGTTGCCGCAAGCAAGGCACATGCTGGGCGGTTGCATACCAGCGGTTATGCGTAGGGCATTGAGTGCTCGGACGTAACCTTCACAAGGACGCGATATCTCACCCAGCTCGGTCTCGTTCGGTTCTTGCATGGTGGGGATAGAGCTTGCCTCGGGCACGCCCATATCATCATCTTCCTGCCCCTCAGGTTCCACGCCGGAGGATCCGAGCGCTTCCCCTTCATGGGCT